CAATCTTGCTCATCAGTACATCAATCTGAATTTTAAGAATTCTAACATGACAGCCTATCCTTTTATACAAACAACGTAAAATTGACATTGAGTAAATTCGAACCCCTAAATTATTCAATATTGATACTTGGGTCAATTCTAATAGAACAGTTTTACTTCTGATATCAAAGCTGCGTTGGACAGATTTCTTTTTTACTAGGAATCTCTACATCTGATAGTCCATCTATCAATTCGTCTATCAGTAGGTAAATCACGCCAACCCTATCCTCTCATTTAGTGCTACACCTATATTAATATGAAAAGTAATACAAATGTAGATTGATGACTCAAGAACGGAAATGATGAGGCATCTGGAAAAATAATTATTTGGATCCATCGCATGCAGTTGTAGATGAACTCAGTTCTGTTTTTAAATATTTCTTCTTTAGAAAATGTTAGATAATACACCTACACCTACGTTGAAAATTATAGCAAACGATGTGACAAAAACAGTTTATGAATAACTTAGATTAAAATTAAATTTTTTATCTTTAGGTCGTCCCTTGCTATTACTAAACAAATTTTATAAATTAGTAATGAAACAAAAGTGAACGCTAAATATTAAATCACGTCAAAAATCACGCAGTCTTTTAAAATGGTGAAACTTTTTTGTTTAATCTAATTTTTAATATGTACCGTTACTGTTTGTTTCAATAATAATTTTTAATTGCTTCATTAAATAAAGTTTGCAGATGTCCCGTACAGTTAGTTATTTGCTACACTTCCACTCCTGAAATTCATAAAAATTTGTTTTAATGGAACTACTAGCAACGTTTCTTTTTCTTCCTGGTTCAGCCGTAATATGTTAATTTTACTTCACCGAATCATATTCCTTCTAAAGAAGCTGACAGGATGAGCAGCCAAACGTGAAGTAAAATCAATCGACCATGGCGGGACTTCGAAAATGTTTTTACAGTATAAAACGACCACAAAAGCCTGAACTCATTGAAAATAGACGCTAAGTACTAAAAATCCGATGAAGAAGAAGTTTCACCATTTTAAGAGTGCGCGATGTTTGACAGTGTCACAAAATGGCGAAACTATTATTTTCCACTTGATTTTAAATATTTAGCGACTATTTTGTGTCATCAGTAGTGTTTAACAGCTTAGCTAATTTACATTTTGCAAACGTATTTAGTACAATTAGTTACTTATTATTTGCGCATTACTAAATTCTTTAACAGTTCTGTTATCAAACCTTCGTAGAGACTATTTTCCGTAATAACACTTCTATTTGAAGTGTCATCAACATCTCAAAAACCAGAAGACTCACTCAAAGGTTCTACCGCTTCATATAGCGTTAGTTTTTAATAACAAGTACTTATAAATAGATTAAGCGCTAAATAAAAACGGGAAAAATCGAAAGTGAAGATGAATAAAAAATTAAAAAGAAGAAAAATTCTCAGTTACAAATAAGAACTGGCTCATCAATTAAATGTACTAGACTGATGAATCCAAGTGAAACGGACGCCTACAACCAACCACCCATCCATCCAGCCACCCACCTTCCCACCCATTCATAAATATAAATTAAAATATAAAAATAAATATTTTGCATTTCGTATTTGTATTTGCACTTGTACAAGACCTATAACAATCTTAGCTCGTGAGTTCTTTTTAACAAAGAGGAAACCAATTTTATTAATGAAAATACAAATATAAATTTAAAGCATGAAGCACGTCGGATATAGGGTTGTCCTCGAGCCGAACTTCCTCGTATTTGTCGTAGTTTGTAATATAAGTTCTTTTGTGGGATTTTATTAGTGTAGCAACTTAATGGAGCCCCCAGTTTTTGGATGCTGTTGCGCCCGTAATGAATTCCATCTGTCCGGGTTTTGAATTCAAAACCCTTAGTTTTTAACTTTTTGTTCTGGTTTGTTGATTTTATAGATGATAACCTTAGACGGATAGGAAGTATTTACCAATATCTGTAGTATTTGTAATATTTATTCCAAAGTTTTAGATNTAGTTTTTAACTTTTTGTTCTGGTTTGTTGATTTTATAGATGATAACCTTAGACGGATAGGAAGTATTTACCAATATCTGTAGTATTTGTAATATTTATTCCAAAGTTTTAGATAGATAGAAATGGTAGAACGGGTACGTTGCAAACGATTTTAAAGTTTAATATTTCGGAAGCGGGGTTTCAAAATGGAACGTAGGCGTACTGTCTATACAAAACATCCAATTTATTTGTGAAAAGAGCTTTATATTTACAGTAGCTACTCCCCACGCATTCATATACCTACATGTACATTTTAGTATAGGTACATATGCAATATACATATATCTACATATAATGGGATAGCTATTTGTAGAATTTATGTGCATAATTCCATATTCCATCATAATTAATTACTTTAATAAAAAAATGACAGCTAAAAGTTCAACAAAAAAGAAAAAAGCGAAACCAACACGTCAAGGTCCACTTACTTTTTTGAAAAAGTTTAAAGGTATTAGTCGGTCTTTTTAATAAAACAATTATAATTAGATATAACTTCATAAAGGAGGTAATTAATAATAAACAAACGTAGTTTTCTGGTTCCTTGAGTCAACATTCAATTTTATTAGATAACAATAACAGATAGTAACATAGCCGAAAGTGAGACATTAATTATGGCAATAGCTGAATGACTGAAACAGTGGATCCAAAAAATCAGTAGGTGCTGTTAAATGATTGATCAGAAAACTTGCAGTGAAGGATGTATACTTTTTACAAATGAATAAGGAAATGCTTAACACGTTATTTAATAATAATTATACCCTGTATTTACACTTGTGAAACTTCTTTCATACATCTCTTACATATTTTTTAAAATTAGTGTAGCAATTAAAAAGGGTGGTACTACTATGCAACAACCTCCCTCAGGAAAGTTCAAAACTTGAAATAGCTTGCTGATGCTTTACTAAAGGCGATGCACTGGGTCCTTGCAGTATCTGCATACAGAGTTCAAAACTGTGCGATAAGCAACTTATACCAGATGTTTCTTTCTTTGATGTAAAAGTATATAATTATAAATTTCATGAATTTGTTTTCAAAAACTTTTATTGTATTTCAAATATCAACTTTTTAAACTTTTATTTCCAGAATTACATAAGTACCTACATTGAAATGTCAGATGTGTAGAGTGGAGTATAGATCTCAAAATTTTGTCTAAATATACAACAATTTTTGAATTTCCACTTGTACTGATTCCACTGGCCAAACATTTATTTAATTACCGTACGAACAGCTGTTTATAAATAACAATGAACGCAACATAAACGAAAGTAATAACATTAAAAACAAAATAAACTGAATTAAGCAACCAAAAAAAAAGCAATTAGTTTAGTTTTCAATCGCGGTTCGACCATATGCCACTCAGCTCCTACAGAAGGAGTTGAACTAGGTTTGACAGCTTTGCAGCTAAGTGTGGTAGCTTTTCATTAAGTTAGTATTGAGGTAACTTTGTAGCTTAGTAGTAGGGTCATTGGAGAGGAGAGATAGTTAGCTAGAGAGGAGGCTCTGCTCTCATTTCTCTCATGTTGTCTTGCCCTTTTATATAATTCTTCGGGCTGCCATATACGGATATCGCACGTGGACTCGATTCCACGTAGACTATTTCCGAGAAATCTACTTATTTCGTGACACCCCCAACAGTCGCGGCTGTCAATCAAGTTTTTACAGAGCAATTCCGAGAATCGGACTGTATTATTATAATAATCTTCGATTTATTCAAATCGCAGCTGTCAATCAACCACACATGAAATATTCTCGAAGATCGGGCCATCTGTCGCGGCCACCGTTAATCCACAAACGATCTGCCTTGGATCAGACGATGATCCGATATCAATCTGATGCATCTAGGTTTTGTCCTAGCTCTTTAACTGTTGGGAGATATGAAAAACTTCTTCAATATGGTCTCTCTTGACTCTAATCTTCAAATTGGAGCAGCTTTTTCTTTCGTAAACAAGGGGATCTTTCACATTCTTCCAAAAAGATAATTTCAAACTCGTATTTTTGCAAATTTAAACTTTCTTAATTTGACAACGAAAATAAAGAAATCAGTACTACAATAATTGCTCTTTACAAACAAAGACAAAACGTAACGCAAAAAAAAATAAATAGAAGATATACACAAGAAACGAACGAATGAAAATCGAATATTCATAGAACTCTAAGATAGAGATGAGGACAACATTCAATTATTAGGTGGCAGTTACAGATAAAAACAGGGATCAAGTGAAATCGTGCTGTATTTCTCACGTGTAAAATAAATGGCTACTTTATATATTAAAATACATATGTTTATTTATTTATCAATTACTGGTTCAATTGAAAAAGTGAGTGAATACGAAACTGTCTTCAATTTTGTATACCTACCCAAGATATTAGGAAATTCCACAGAATTCCTCGGGGACTGCTGATCTTACAGTTCAAGCATTCATACTTGCAAAACAGATTTATCACAAACTCAGCAAAAATGCTGCATTGTCTGAATGCACAATGCAAAATGTCAGTTGGATAGTGTGAGTAAACCTTGTTCAGGGCGAAAATCTTCACATAGTTTTATAAACCATAAACGAAGCATTTTGTAAACTAAAACTATTAGTAAACAAATGAACTTGATTTCATCATCGTAAAAGGGAGAACTCCTAAATAACCAACTTAAGATTTCATTTAGTAAAGCTTTCATTTTTTCTTTTGGCACTTACGCTATGCCAGGCAAGAATATATGTCTATTTCCAACGAATACAGGCGATCACTAAATCAAATCATACTGCTGAAATTGTGGATAACAAAGGACTGTTGGTACATAGTTCAGACGTCGCACAAGAGATAGCGCTAGTTGTGAATTTTTTACAAGATTACTCCCAGAACTTTTCGAATACACTGCGTATAAATGACAACATTGTAATTGTCAAACATTTCGAACAGTTTTAGAAATTTTCAGAACACATGTAAAAAGAAAAGCCACTAAAACGTTTGTAATTTTATTTATTTCAGCTATTTTCTGTACATCAATACTATTAGATACCTAATATTTTTCTCATCCCAAACATGAATGTTGAAAATGAAAATGTTCTTTTATACATACCAACGCACATCATCGTACTGAACACAGTAGAAACACCAAAAAACAATATAAATAATTAATTAACAGTTGGCCTAGGGACGTTTTTAACTTTTGTTAGTTGTTATCAAAGTAAACAAGGTACATATGTATGCACATAAATTCCAACAATTATTCGAAATAAATCAGCTGGATATTTTTGCTGAAAGGAATATATTAATTAATTAGAAAAAATTACGTACACAATATATGAACACAGAGGATATTCAGTTTTAAATTAACGCTAAACAAATGAGTAACAAATACAATATTTTGTTTGGTCTAATGATGATGAAATCGTATCTATCTATCACCTTTTATATTTGATAATGATTTTTACTTATATATATATATAAATTGGCTTCGAATGTAATAATATAAAATAAAAAAACAACTACAGATGTCATATTGGAGAAATATTGGTACCTACTGAAACACCGCTTTCTGTTGCAATGTATCATTGGCACGACGAGTAGCGAGCAAAGTTTGCGACACAAGGGTCGAGGGTTCGAATCCACCTTGGTAAGAAGATACGGTACAGACGAAAACGAAGTTACAATAAAAATGTGTTTACTAACCACATAAACGCCACACGTCTGTCCAAAGTTAAAGTGCCAAACAATATGGACAAAACACATTTGATATCGGGTTCGATTTGCCATATTTAGTCTTGCGATAGGGGTTGAGACAACGTCATATCAGTTGATAACATAAGTTTTTTTTATGTATAACAAAATGTTTGAAATGAAAATAACTGACCTTTCCATACGTACAGGCAATTATGTGCATACATAAAAGGATATTTAACAAAATAAGTATATACAGTAAATAAAAAAAATATAGAATATAAAACTATCTCAGAGTGTTTGAAATTGTTTTTAAGTACGTGACACTAATTATATATAGATATGATACTTATATTTTCCTACTTATTTTATCTAATTTTGTAGCCTGCAGTCTGAATTTGAATAGTTTACAAAAATATTCAAAAATCAATAATTGCTACAAAACCACATTAATACATAACAATAATAATTCGTCATACTGTTAACAATTATATTGGTATTACGATCATATTAAAACTGGAGAGGATTTTAAGAAATGCTACTGTTACTACCACTGGGCATTAATGGACGTTGTGTTGAACTAGTATCCTGTTTGCCTTGTCTCTCTAGACTGAAACATTATTTTGTATTAATGAAATGTAAAATCAACGCCATATAGACAAGATATTGGTATGTAAGGGATGTAAAAGTAAGGTTAGAATTGATATAAAAACAGGAAGCGAAAAACTAGAAGAAATTGCTTATTTTCTATATTTATGGAGTAAGAAAAAGCGTAGAGAAATAAAACAAAGAATAGCGGGCAGGGTTGGATCGCTTTTAACAAACTAAAATCACTTGAATGCACCCGTTTAATTAATTTTGAAATTCTAAAAAAATCATTAAAAGTTCAGAAAACTTTTCTATATGGGTGAAACGTGACACTGCTGAAAAGTAAAAGTTATAAGCGTTTGAGGTATGGTGTTATACGAGGATGTTAAAATGTTTTAGTTAGAAAAGGATAGAAATAGAAGCGATTAGAATAAGTAGGAGAACAAGATGGTGCTATGGAAGTCAATAAGAAGTAACAATTTTTTAAACATTAATATAAATTAATATTCAACCCCCTATAGATACCTCAAATTAATGAGGAAAAATTGTTGCTGCTGTCATACCCTTATCGGGAATCGAACCCGGGTCCTTTAGCTTACAGCTTCACTAATTTGAGGTAATCTGTAGGGAGTTGAATATTAGATCACATTATTGTTTAAAAAATTGTTAAATATTAACCTCTATCAAGTTTAAAGAACAAATTTCATCAATAACAGGTGGGCGAGGCAGGTTGGTGGATATTAAGTGCTAGTTGGAGACGTATTAGACGTATTAAAACAGGAGTTAAGAGGAACATTGGATTAGATTACTTTTTGCTAATGTGTTAGAGATAAAGATTGCTCTAGTTTTCGAGAAATGCGAGAAGTAGGAGTACCGACAATATTATGATGATAATGATGATGATATAGACATATCGATTCAAACAAGAAGAAGGTCTAATTTACAGAAAACTATATAAATAGACGGGTATTTCTTCCAAGTAAATTCTTTGTTTTTTTTTTTATAGATTTAGTTCTTAAAAAATGGAAATTAACAATAATTCTATGGCCTGACGATCGATTCGTGGATTTTGTGTATATTCTTACGACTTCAGCTTTTATAATTCTAGGTGTTTTATAACATAGATTTCTGTGCTATGAGAACTTTGAGCTATGCTATCTGAATTCCAACGCAGCATAAAGCTACAGGAGGCTCGGTCCAGTTTTACACACGTTTGCTCATTTACTTACCTATTACTCCTGGATGATGATCCAGCTCTTTTAAATATCCCTGTTAACCTTCCTCTCAAATCTTTCTTGCTACCTTTATCCTCATGAGATGAAGGAACTTCCGATGTACTTGAGGGCTGTAAAGAAAAATTCGCGTTTTATATCCAACAGATGTGAAATTATAAAATCCTAAATATACATAAACGAAATCAATTGCATAATTTTAATAGTTTTTGTCTAAGAGACTACTTTTATAGTTTTTTTTCTTCCTTTAAAAAATTTTTATACTTGAAAAAAAAACAAATTGACTGCTCTGAACAAAATATTTGGGCGACAAAAATATCGTTCTTTTGGCACACAGTTTTTTATATTATAATAGATATCTGTAAATTCATTTCCAAAAAAAATGGATATTTAATCCACTTTATTTTAAAGCTATCCATAAATTAGGCAACCAAATGTGGCGGAAAAAGAGAAAAACTTTCTTCGCTAAATTCAAACCTCAAACTTTTATAGTGCACGCGTTACGTAACGGAATAGGAAGGGAGGGGAATGGAGAGGTCACAAATTGATGAATTTTGTGTCACGTAATTTATGGACAGCCCCTTTACAGTTTCTCAGTCGCAATGCTCTAATTGAATTTTTTTTCTACCTTGGATAGTGTCCCAGGGGGAGGAAAATGGCCCGGGTCCTGATCGTCAATACTCCTCGATTTCGTTAGTGTTTTCAGTTTCTTCATGAAACCTTTCTTTTTCTTCTTTTCTCCTGAATCACTTTGATTGGACCCTCCTGACAGTCTACTGTCCATGCTAGAATCCCTTTTCCATTTGGTATCAACATCGGACGCATCTTCTAGCGATTGCATACTGGATACACTTCCGTTATCCGTCCTCCATATACTTTGGTCTTGCGGTATAGTGTGTTCTAAGGAAAGACTTTTGCGATGAAGAGCGTTTCCAGTACCATTCTTTAACTGGCGCATCTTCAACCTTGGAATGTCATCGTGTTCGGAAGAAGTGGCCCTTCTCATGCCCATCGTACGTTTTATGATGTAATCTCGTTCTTTTTCGTCTTCCGCGTAACGCTGATATCGCTTAAGTTCCGCTGTTGCTTCGTATAAACGTTGCATTACGGAAGACATCTGAGGCGAAACGTCCTCCTTACTTGAAGACGAAATCGAATTTTCGATGTTTGGTGATGCCTCGCGTGACCTTGGACCCTATGATAAGAAAAAATTATCAAAAGGATACAATTATGGATTTTTATAACTTTCGTTTTACCTTAGTTCGTCGTGGAGGGGTAGGAGTGTGTTTGAATTCTACTGTTTCGGTAATAGTTTCTCGCGTGGATTGGAAGTCGCTAAGAAATCGGGTTAGACTTTCGATTTCATTTAATATAACAGTAATCTTTCTCTCTTCGCTCTGATGCTGTTTCTTTTTAGTAGATATTACCGACTTCATTTCTTCGCGCTCTTTCTCGTAACGTTCCTTTTCTCGTCTTAATTTTTCATTCGTAGTCCTTAATTTAGCATGTGCATCTCTAAGTTCCAATAGGTCGTACTGCAGTTCCGCTAATTTTCTTCTAGTCGCTTCTTGGTCCTCTTCTATCGTCTTTTTAAGTTGGTCCTGCTTCCTTTTCGCTTCCAATCTTTCTTTATCTCTCTCCCTTTCGACTTCGAAAAGAGTCTGACGTAAATCTCTGGCGAGAGTAGAAGTTTCTTGAAGAAGACGTTGTTGCTCTTCCCTCTCTTTTTGCCATGCTAATTCCATTTTCGTTTTTAACCCAGCTACTTTTGTTCTTCCACTACTTAGAAGTCTTTCTTCTTCAAGCTTGAAAATAATGTCATATTAGTTGACGACGACGCTTATCATATGTAAGCTTCGTCGTCGATTCAATTAAACAAGTTGAAATACCTTGATAGGGCTTTGTCTAACGTTTGAAATACAGCAGAAGCCCACCAGAATACGATACACTGCGGTTATTATATAGGAGCTTTTTCGGTTTAGTCAGTAATTTAACAAGACTACCAATGGCGTGCTGATGAGATCTAACAAGATCAAAATCGTGGTACGCGTTTAGTAGTTTCGATAAATTTCTGACCAAAAACGTATACGCTCTTATTAAATATTTATTTATTAGCATTTATGCACACTGAAATTAACTTCAAATCACATTTAACGTCTAATGTTCTTTGAACGACAAAAATGCATATTTTATTGTACGTACCTCATTTATTCGAGAATGTAATTCGGAGAGCTTCACTTCCCACGACGATCTTTCCGAAATGAGTTCTGTCTTGTGCTTTGAAGCTTCCAATCGGGCTTCAGATAATTCGTCTTCCATACAACTTATTTGTTGTTCTAAAGCTGCAATCTTCGTTCTTGATTCCTCCAACTAAAATAATAATTTTTGTATATACCTACTCTGTGAAATCAGGCTAGTTTTATATTTATACTTCATCTAAACTGCTACTGGATCCTCTGCTATCTTTCCTGTTTATAGGATTTGCTTTTAAATCTCCGATCGTTTTCTGTGCACTTTCCAAAAGATGTTTGAATGTGTCACGTTCTCTTTTAAACCTTGTTACTTGACTCTGTAATGTCTTAATTTCTTCGTTAATGTGTTTCATTTGGCTTTCATATCGTATTTTACATTCCGTTAGATCAGTACGTTTCGACTTCTCCACGGTAAGTAACCTGTAAGAAAATATTATTCCATTGAAAGGATAGAACAAAACATTCCAGTATATTTCTTACTTTGCTTTTAATTGTTTTATTTCCTTTTCCATAGCAGAACTCTCTGCACTAATACTGCGTTGCACTTTTGATACTTTATCGTAATCGTCTAATTTTTTCTTAAGTTCGTCGTTCTCTTTCCTCATATATTCTAGTTGATCACTAATAACATCGTATTCCTTTTTTATCTGGTCTAATTCGGACAGTTTTTCATCCAAAGATGCTTTCATGCTTGTTAATCCAATATTGTTTCCCATGGAATTCCTTATTCTTTCCTCTTTACCTTTCAGCCTCTCCTTTTTCGAAAGAATAATAGACGCAAATGTTCTAATTTATATAGTTAAAAAATATTTAAAATATTACCTGTAGCGATAACTTTTCCCTAATCCACGCGTCTTTATCTCTGTTATAAGTTTCTCGTAATGTTTGCAATTCTTTGTTTGTACTCTTTAGCTCATCCTTCAATGAGGAAATTTGACTAAAAACAATGACATTTGTGAATATACATTATCTCAAGTTCAAAATTCAAACTATATTTTAGCCTAAATGTATACAACGATGCGATAACTCGCTGATAGAAGAAAGAACTGAATGTTTCTCATAAAAAATCAGTATTTTTACGTTTTAATGCCATCTTCTTTATCATGAAAACTGAAAATTTTAGAATTATTGAAGAAATTTATATACAACAGTCCTCATTGATCTTTTATAAAACAGATCTATTTCACTAATTTCAGTAATTTTGTCCATATATCACTCATGGTTGATACCAAGATCTGTCCAGATATGGTAATATAAAATCAGTCAAATTATTTATTGACCCTGTTTGTATTTCTTTCAAGTAGCTACATAACCCGTTTCTATCTAATTTAATATTTTTTAATTCATTAGTAATCGGCATGTTTTTTACGTTGGAAGCATCAAAACAACCATTTTTACGCCATTTCTACCAAACTTGGCGTAAAGTAAACGATCTCTGGATATAATGTGAGTAGACTGTTTGGTTTGCCGAACACGTATATTTTAATATAATCTTTACAATCAATGTCGTGTATTCCCGACTTTTCTAGAAAAGGAATCTTTATTCTTCAGGGTTAGCAAGAAGAATTTGAGAAGAGTTACAGTTTGAACGAAATCTAAAAGCAAGTTTACGAAAAATACTTTCGAATCCTAAATCTTAGCTCACACGACAACTTGGTTTTGTTGGTGTTTTGAAAAGTTGGGGTACTTGAAATGAGATTTTTAAATTTAAAAGTAATACTTCAATTGCAACTAGTCTTAATAAATATTTTTAATTTCCTCATGGTAGGTACGTGCACAAAAGAAGACTAAGTAACCTGTGTACAAGGAAATTAAAGTAGCCATTTTATGTTAGTTAAAAATATAAATAGAAGTACTAGTGAGTGCCCTTCAGGCAGATATTGATTTCTAAACAATAGTCATCTCTTAGTTCTTCCTTTTTTTCCATTTTGAAAGTAAATTTAAGAGAAGGGAAATATGAATTAAATTCAGCAAGAACATGTTACAGACTACTAGAATTTAAATCAAAAGTAGCAAAAATATCGTCCACATAATGCTCTAAGTGGTTTATATCCCCCGTAGTTGTTAAGCAACCGTTTACCTGAAAATAATTTTTCCGCATACATATTGTGACTATAACGATGTTTAGTATGTTTGGGTGTTGAGTTTAGAGTAATTTAGTGTTTCACTTCATTTAAATTGGACTTTTACACTAGTCTCTTTTCTCTGGCGTATCTACAACCCATGCGTTTTCTATATATATGTAGCTATATGTAGGCATAAATATTTTATCGCTTCGATCCAAAAAGTAATAATCACACACAGCACGCTAGTTGTAGACATTCGCCATTACTTCTAAGGTCACTAATTTTCAGTAAGGTCGGTGTTCAGTTAATAATAATATTAGCCTGATAAATAAAAATTTGCATGTAAAATAAAATTTCTTTTAAACTTACAGATGACTGTTTTTCGCTTTTAACACTTGGAAGCGAAACAGAAATCTACAAAATTCAGTTTGAACCTCACAATTCTACAGTTAGAATTTTACAAACTTATTTTTAAGTTACAGCAAATGCTACTGTTAAGATGTCTATAGTGAAAAGAGAATTTAATCTTTGTCAGTTTAATACTAAAGTACAATGGAATTTGTTTATTATGACTCCGCCTATCTTGACCAACCGCTTAATACGTATATTGCACTGTTAAGTTTGGTTTTCATATTAAATTCTCTATAGGAAAATTTGGATATAATTTCTCCGTTTAAAATGACAAATCGTTTATTATGACTGATTCTCAAGAAATTATATCCGACTATAGTGGCCCAAATGATTAATAATAACATTTTCGCTCATTGTTCTGATCCTTCTTATGTAGTATATTGATATTACAATTCATCGTTCTTTTTCTTTTTCTGTTAATAAATATATACAATTTGTAGTTTTTCTCTCTATTAAACTAAATAACTAACCAAAATAGAAAGTTGTTTATGCTCTAAGATTATGCTTTGTATGACCCCCGCTTNTCATTTCCCTTCAATGTCATTATAAGCGGATTCTACTGTATTAAAGAATCAGAGTTTTAATATTTAAATCGAACTTGCAAACGTTCGTAGGTCGTAGATACCTAATCTAGCTATTAACAAGTTGTTGCCATGAATTTAAATAGGACCTTGTTAAACATTAATAATCCCACAATTAGTGGCAACTCTCTACAGATGGCGTTTGTTCCACAGTCTGCGATTATTTAATAGCTCCTCAATTTTATATATGTATATGCTACCGTAACAGCCCGACTAATTTTAATATTTCCCTTTAGTTAATTGTAGTTTTGATTATTTAGAAACAGAATCAGCAAATATTTTTAATTCATTCTAGGTGTGACTAGACAAATTTTGGTTAAAAGTAGTCTTTGCGACACTGTTCAGAGATGTCGTAGGTTTAGCATAAAGATTGTAGTTGTAAAACTTGGTCTGGGCAGCTTCAGTGTTTTCATATTTATTTATTTTTACTAATTTATCTTTTGGTGGGTATGCATGCTTAGGAACAGAAGGTTATAGTAGAAAAAATCAACACTCACGAAGTAAGTGTTGTCGTTGTCGTACATTTCCTTCTGTTAGTCAAGCTGTGACTTCTTTTCTTGGCGGTACTGTAATTATTGGAAGCATATACCTACTTTTTGAAGGGAGTTTAGGTTACCTTAACTCTGTGTGTAAAATTATATTTATATTATTGTTTGATTATGTAAAATTAGAATTGACCAAAGATGATTGTTAAATCCAATCTATCTTAGACACATCTGAACTTTACGGTAACATACTTATTGTACCCACCACCAGTTATTCACTTTTCAAGAGATTTAATAAAACTAATAAAAAAAAAGTTCTTATATTACGTACTTGCTTAAAGACTCCTTTTCCATAATAAGTTTAGCTTTTGTTGCAACGTGCTCTTCTTCTAATATTTCATACTTGGCGGTAAGTTTGCTGTAGTCTGCTTTAGCTGCAGCAACCATTGCATCCATTTCTAAAAAAATATTTTTTTATGTAATTCTAATAAGTTAGAAATCAATAAAGAAAACTAACTGTCAATTTTTTCTTGATATTCAATTTTAACTTCAGAAATCTTTTTATTTCCGACGTTTGAATTGAGCTCTAATGTTTTAATTTTGCTCTTCAAAGTATTCAATTCCGCTGTCCTGTTTTTATACTCCTTTTCCTGGTTCGCCTTCATTAATTCCATTTTCTTTCTCTCATTCTACAAATGACTAACTTAATAACTGTTCAAAATCGTATCACGATTGTTTACCTGCAAATCGATTTCAAGTTCTCCAATTTTTGCTTCCAGCTTCGATCTTTCTTTGGAAAAGTTTTCTTCTAGTGTTTTCGTTTTTTTATCGAGCTGAGCCTTTTCTCGAGTTAGACCATCTAGTTTGGCTTGCAACTCTCCTACAGAAGATGTACTTTTACTAAGTTCACTTTTTACACATTCGATTTCACTAGCATTGGCTGTTTTTAATAAAGAAATCTCCCGGGAATGCTTTTCTTTTTCTTTAGACAAATTACTCTCCTAAAACAGAACTTGCATTAGCATAACTTTTCGCAACCAATGGAATAGAAAGAATAAAATACCAGTTCCTTAATCTTATTAGATTTGCCATCAAGTTGTGAATTGAGGTGGGATATTTCTCTATCAAGCTCGCTCATTTTAGTGGAAAATGATTCCTTCTCATTTACTGACTTTTTGACAAATTCATTTAATTCTCTATCTTTGTCATTCAGTTTATTTTGTTCTTCGACAAGCTGGAAATTTATGTTTTCGTTTCTTATTTAAATTACACAATCAAATAACGATGATACCTTCGTTTCAATGTTCCTCAGAAGTTCGGTTAAAGTTTTTTCTTTTCTCTTTGCTTCTTTCTCTAATTTAAGAATTTTTTGCTCCACTTCACTTGTCTGTTTAGCACTTGCCGTTTGCTTAAAAGAACAAATTTATACTAATTGTACTTGTTAATTATAACAAACTGTTTACTTCTTTAATACTGCGTTTCAGGTCTCCTAATTCCGAAGTTAACTTCAGAATTTCATCTTCCTTACTTTTCAATTTACGCTTCAGTTCATCGATTTCCTTTACCATATCGTTGTTGGTACCCTGATATGAATTTTGGTTTCCTGAAACTTCCAGTTGTATAATTTTGGTTGTTTAAACAATTAAAATACTTACTATAACTTGATAAATTATCAATTTCCTTTTGCAAATTATTCTTTTCTTCAGACATTTTTTGAATCTCCTTCTGAATACGGTCTTTCTCTTCTTTTAGTATTTTGGTCTCTTCCGCGAGTGTTTTTGACGTTTGGCTGCTGTTATTAAATTGTTTGTCTGCTTTTGATTGGAACTTCAGTTTATCCAAAGGTTTCTCGTAATCTATTAAATTTTTATCACCCTTGAATCTTTTAATTTCTTCTTCTAATGAATTCTTTTCATCAGTTGTTCTTTTCAGGGCCAGCACGAGATCACCTTCAACGAACGATCGAACATCAAATCTACTTACAGTATGTTACAAACACATCTACTTAAAAAGAAATATATAGATAAAATTTATATCTACTGATCAAAATTTACGACTTAATAAAAAATAATGCTGATGATAAAAGGATAGCAACGTCTTATTGGTTTTCATCAGAACAGATCTCTTGAAAATGCCAACCCAACGTGAAGACAAAACATCGAGAAAAAAATCTCCAGGCGATGGCCAACAGGCCCAAAAACCAATAGCACATTCGACAGCATCGGTAAAAGCCTTACACAATTTATCAAAGGCTAATAAACCGACACGTATACATCTTTGAAACCTTTAAAAGTATTTCTCTTTTCTTCCTGTTGTAGTTCAAAATAATTCCCAAAGTCACCGAGGAATACAGTGAAGACTCGTTAATCCGGTTTGATTAAAAGACGGATAATCCGGATTATCAAGAAGTCTGAACTTCTGAATCGTTATCAAAATTATTCTAAATTAAACAAATAACATGTTACTCGTTACTAGAACATTAAGGATATTTTTTTAAGTCAATCGTTTAGTGCGAATCATTCTTAGTGTGGATAATGTTACGAAGATTAATTAACGCTGACTGAAACACTAGATAGTACTCCATTCTTTTATACTTATTTCTTCTTATTATGTCTGTAATAGTAGATGTACTACATCATACCTTTTAGCCAACAACTTGTAATTGCACCACCTTCAAACCATTCCAAATTTGTTGTTTGTATGTCTTGTGTAATTGCTTAGCTGTCATGTTAGTTTACAGTAATCCAGGAATTCCCCGACCCAACTAGTCTCAGTAGCAACAAATCAATAAATTAACGATCGACCTATTGTATGGTTGCAGTCCGGATTAGCGGCACTCTACCGATCCGGATTACAAAATACGTAAAGTTGAAGGGTAATATTTTAATTTTGTTCGAATTAGCGAAGGTTCGAATTAGCGAGTCTCCCCTGTTTATTTTCTTTATTATTATCAGCATTACTTTGTTTATTCGACTTTTTGTCAATATTTTTGTGCCTCCTGTTCATTGTTTAATTGACAGTATCGTAACTGCTTCGTTTACTTCTTCTGTTAGCAAAGAAAAATTAATATTTGTTTGGTAATTAAATTATTAGAGGCTTTATTAATATAATAGAAGAAATATTTCCTATTGTCAGTATTTCGCAAAATAGAGTAAAATTTTTCTACATCGATTTTATACAATATTTTTCAATTGGAATATTACCAACATCTGTTACTTTAAATTTGTCTACTGATTTACCTATTTCATTTTCTAACTCGTTGACCATATTCTTTAACTGTATTTTACTGGTTATACTCCCAGGATTCTTTGGTATCCTATTCAAAAAATGCGTTATACTTTCGTCTTTTAAATGCTCCAACTTTTCTGCTAATCTTTTATTTTCGCTTTCCAGCTAAAAACAAAGAATCTCTCAGTAAAAGTAAGATTAGAGCAAGAGTTATCCACTTTACTTGATCCAATTTGAGTTGAAGCTTATCAGTTTCAGAATTTTTAGTAATTTTTTCGTGCACTTTATTAAGCTCCTCTTCGAGTTCAGCAATTCTGTCGATGTATGGGTCAAGTACCTTGTCAGTTTTCGACGTTTTACTGCTATAAAACAGTTGCAATCGTTTGTTCTCTGCTGACAATTTTTCATTTTCACCCTCTAAATCCTGTATCTTGGAACGTAATACAGTTGCTTCCTGTTCAATTGTCTCGAGTTGTTTTTGCAAACTATGAGAACGTTGATCGACTTCACAAACTCTGTAAAACAATTTAAAATGTTAATGAATCAGAGTTATTTGAGTTTGATAAGTATTTGAAACCCTTACTGTTTCTTTTGAATGTCTTTAGAACGTCCTTTCTTCAGATCAATAACAGCTTCTTTTTTCTGTAATGACTGAAAGCATATGTCTATTAATTTTCATTTGAAATTGAAAACAAAAAAGACTCAATATCGTAACATATAGGTATTTATATAAGGATAATAATGCTCTATCATAAGTTTGCTTGTCAGTTTGTCCATTTCACAGTTAGTCGTAAATTGCGCTTTTCGGTTAAAGATTGCAAGTTGCCTGAAATGCCGCAAAGGCGTTACATTTAGCTTTTAGAAGATTCGGCTTTTGTAAAATTCTATTCGACCTTACTAAGCGGTTTAAAAGGAATTAGCGAATGAAAAGGCAAAAGAACGCGTTTTCGCCTTATAACTGAAATTGGTACAACTGTGGTAGCTGATGGTACGATATTCTGGAATTAGCTGACCATTAAAACGTCTAATTACAGGATGGAACTAACTAAATAACATACTTTCGGTATCTAGGATGCCATCATTTAATCGGAATATTTATTTAACATTTTGGCATATTCGAGTTGGAGCTACAAAACTGCATTTTTCAGTTAAAAATTAAAAAAAAAACGGTAAAAGATGCATAGGATACCGTAAAAACGATATTTTTAGCTTTTAGATGACTCAGGTTTTGTAAAGTTTTATTCGATTTTATAAAGTGCTTTAAAAGGTATTTGCAAATGTCAAAAAATCGCGTTTTCGCCTTGTAATTGAAATCGGTGCAATTGATATAGCTGATAATACAATATTCTGGAATTAGCTGACTATTAAAACGCCTAATCGAAGCGTTGAACTAACTAAATGCCATACTTTCGATATCCAACATGCTATCATTTAATTGGAATGCTTAATTAAAAATCGGACCCTTTGAGGTATTCGAGGTGGAACTAAAAAATGGACGTGTTTAAATGTCTGCGTCTGTAACAGAAACATTCTAACCTAAGAAGTATGAAGTTTTGAGTATTACTTGAACAAACGCCTCGGTTAGTTTGTGATATGGGAATCACCATGACTAAAATGTATGTGCTATACTACTACGATAGTAAAATTTGAATGGGTTAAACTAACTTAAAGATAATGCTTTTAGTGTTGATCATGTTCTTGTACAGTCGAGTCTTATAAAAAAATCGTGTCTTGCTTATAAAGAGCATTATGGCCTTGGCCAGAAATATATTCATTTATTTAATCCTCAAAGACATAGGCAGTTTCGATGAATTACAAACCAAATTGGAGCTTGTCTTGTAAAATCGAATTGATACATTCATCGTAACGTTGAGGAACGGATAGTATATGTATGTATGTCTTATTTAAAAGCATTAAATAATCAAAAATTAACTTAAAGATTAGATACTAGCATAGAGTAAGCATAAAAACTTTTGTTTTTTTTTGTGTATCATAAGCTTGGTTAAGTTTTAGTCTTATTAGTCTTGATGGTGGCCTTGGTCAAGAACAAGTTGGCATGATCAATACCAACCATGACATAGGAAGAATATCTACCTCGATTTTTTTATGTTGATTTAATTTTTCAAGTAAGTCTTTAATTTTTTTCTTTGACGCTTCTCCTTCAGCCTCTAATTCTTCGACTTTTTTTCGCAGTACTTTCGTTTCTTGTTCGTTGAGCTCGAGAAGCAATTTTAATTCAGTTGGATCGTCGTTATCTGGAGCCCCATCTTTATTATTTGAGAAATCGGAATTATGTCTCGAAGTAGGACTTAATTTACGGTCTGAAGGCAAAATAGAATATATTGATTTTGAAATAAACTTTTCGTAAAATCAGGAAAACACATTTGTACTATAGACATACTTTTGGTCTTTGTTGCCATCTTTTTCAATTGTAACACTAAGGACTCATTATCATCTTCTATGCGCGAAACTTTTTTTCGTAAATTCTGCGCCTGTAATAAGAAATGAAAATGTCCATTAGTACATAAATTTAGACGTTTAAAACTCACGTACTTCTTCTTCAGCGAATTTTAATTGCTCACGAAGGTCAGCCTCTCTTTCCATTGAATCTTGTAGATCCCTAAGGAGCACTGCTGGATCTTCCTGAGACCCGCCTCTTGTCAATGAATCTCGTGAAACTTTCTAATTAAGTACAAGCAATTAAATAATAAAAACTATTTTAAACAGACACCAAATATTATACCCCTTCGGTTGAAGCCATTTTTGGAATGCTCCCTAATTTCACAGGCTTTTTTTTATTCGAACCCTCTTCAACTTTATTTAATTTGGAATTGGCTTCCTCAAGTTCTTTTTGGAGTCGACTATTGGTGTCCTTATATTCTTGTAATTGTTGTTCTATAAGCCGTATTTTGTTTATATTCTCTGATCCACCGGAGACCTGTTCATTTGTAGTGTACTCTTGAGACTTGCATTACTATAAATGGAAAAATATTACCTCGTTAAATTTCTTTTCCACTTCAGTTTTCTGCATTTCTAATTGTTCAACCCGTCTCTCTGATTTCCTAAGCTTAAATGACAGGATTCTACAATTTTTTGTCGTTTGTTCCAGTTCCTTCCTTAAAGACGAATACTCGTCTGCTTGATCTTCCCTGAGATTGTGAACAAACAAAAATAATGTTTTAGAAAAACTACCTGACAATTCAAAAATGTTCTAAAATAATAAAAACAGATTTTGTTTGTTTTATATGCATAGTTACAGTTGATAATATCGACAAATTGATTTGTACACCAATGAAAACCAAATGGAACATATGTATATTGCAGAAAATTCATAGTTTAATTAATTTGAAATTTTAAATTAATAATTTAATTA